CAGCAGGCGAGGCTGCAGTGGCCGGGAGTGGCCACTGCACTCCAGTCTGGGCGACCAAGTAAGACTCCAACTCAAAAAAAAAAGTACAAAATATACTTTATATACATTTATATATGTATACACATATATATTTATTTAGAAGGAAGCAGAAAAAATTATTTTTTGTGCAATGAATAGTATTAGCATTTTCCTGGATATTAAAAAATTTCATGTTTCACGTATACAGAGGGTGCCAAAAGTACAAGATATATTTTTCACATGTATGTACACACACATATATACACATATGTATTTATTTAGAAGGAAGGAGACAAAATTATTTTGTACAGTAAATGTTATCAGTATTTTCCTGATGTAAAACAGCTTCATGTTTCACATATACAGGCGGTGCCAAAGAAAGTATACATTTTAACAAAGGCAAAAACTATTAAAATTGTAATACTCAATATACACCAATAACAAAAGATGAATACCAAGTCACGTTTGACTTCTTCAGTTACAAGAGACGCTCAAAGTGGTTACCATTAGTGCTCAGACACTTCTCGATATGATGAACATCACTTAAAATGTGTATACGTTTTTTTGGTACCCCCGGTATATAGAAAGATTTAGACTTGTTTGTTTCTTTCACAGATTTTGATTTTGTGGATAAAGAAGTTTTCTTAAGTGATTTTTTTTCTGTACCATTTTGACTGTCTTTTGCATTTAGAAGAACAATGCTTAATGACCTTTAGAGGCCAAAATCAAACTTTTAATTTCTTAAAATACCCAATTTTGTTATTCACAGACTTTGTGCAATGTCTTTGGTGAATATTATACTCCTGCTTTAAAATATGAAGTAAATGTAGAAGACAGAGGGAATTCTGGTGTATATGCCTCTGAAAATCAAGAACCAGAATTACAAGATTATAAATATGAAGTTCAAGGTAATAAAAACTTGCCATACTATTAAATAGTATTTAATTTCCTTAAATCAATTGGTGACATACTTTTATCTTTAATTATGTTTTAATAACTCAGCCAAGTTGAATTGATCATCTTAATATTTTGTCTTCCTGTCACATTCATGAAATGAAATATTACATTTAACATACATTTTTTTATTTTCTTAATGTAGAAACTATGATATAAAGATAATTGCTGCTGTCCACAAGTTTATTTTCTACTCCTCTATTCCCTTCTTTTTCTTTATTCTAATTCTTTCCTTTAACTTTTTACTCTATAGATCCAAATCTTTAAAAGTAGTTGTATTTATTGAATAAGTTTATGTCAGTGATTTCTTGTTTTAAAATAAATAAGAAAATTAAGGAATAAGAAATAATATTAGGTCTCTCTCTTAACATAAGTCTAGTATTATTTTATTTTAACAAATAACATCCTTTATTAATTTTTAGCATCTTTCCACAGATAAAATGTTTCCTAACACTGACCATTTGTATGGATAATGAATAAAGTGTGTACAAACTAATGAATACCAAAAGAAACATATTTTAATATGAAACTTTGAAGTTATCTTTGTTGCTGGTGTTTCATGTTAATGAGATTTTAGTTTTTGGTTACTAAATATATGAGGTTTACTTCTAGCAGGCAATTTTCTAAAGTTGTAAATATGTGAATAATATTTATTATAAGATGCAGACTTTTACTATGGAGTGAAATTATTATTTTTTTAAAATCATTTAGACGTTCAAGAAAACATGCAAATGCTTCTCAACAAAGTAACAGAAGAATACAACAAACTCTTGTTACTTCAGACACGATTAAGAAAGGTCTGTGAAATGAAAAGTGTGTTACGATGTTTGCCATTATTGTGTTATCTGCTATTTCGTAAGCTGCTTTATCAACCAAGAATTTCTAAATAAGATAAAATGAAAAAGAAGATTAGGAAAAGTGTCATATATTTATAACAGAGAATTTGTATCAGTAAGCTGAAGGAATTTCTGCAAGTTGATTAATATTAACCCCTTTAGAGAACTTTTGAAATCTTGTTAATATGTACCGAAGGTGCCAAAAAAAAGTATACACAGTTTAAGAAAGGAAAAAACTAGTAAAATTGGAATACTCAATATATACCACTAACAAAAAGATGAGTACAAGTCATGTTTGACTTCTACAATTACAAGACGTGCTTGAAGTAGTTACTATCAGCATCCAGACACGATTACGGTGGGACTTGTTGATGTGCAAGGCCTCTCAGATCTTCCCTTGTGCATATCACACACAGTACCATGCGTCTCAAACTTATCACGAATGTGTGCAATTGTTAGATGTGTTAGAGGTTCTGTTGTGTACTCACACATTGTTGTTGTACTTGTACAACGTTCTTGGATTTCAAATACCACTTCAAAATGGTCTTGTGCAGGTCTTGTGCTCCTCGAACACAACCGTGCTTCCGCCATTTTCTTTGATTGTTCTGCCTGTTATGTGGTGATGCTAGTGTTCGTTTGATTAACACCATCTTTTGAGCAAGCATCATACTACACACATTTCTACCGTAATTCAATTCAACATCGAAAAACAATACATAGATAACATCTCTTAAAATGTGTATACATTTTTTTTTGGCACTCTGGTATATGAGATGTCAAATGTAAACTATGATACAGTTGCATTTAATTTTACATATAAAATTAAAGCAAGGGGTCCTTCTGTTTCTGAAAAAATTGGTAATGCAGTTGTTTAGCACATAGCTAATTAGTTTCACACCATGTTATGCATGTCAATTTTATTTTTAAGCAGTTGTTTTTAAGAATGTGTTCATAGAAAAGTAGGTAAACTAGAATACAGGACACAGCATAATTTATTAACTGTATCAGAAAAATGACTTAAAATATATATTGGCAAGGATAAGCATTATAATTCTCAGATCTATGTGCTTATTTGGTGTGCTTTTTGATGTTCAGTTATAATTAAGATGTTTAGGCAGATTTGAAAGATTTAACTGATAAGCAGTGGAAATTTTAGTGCTGATGAGGGTATATTTTGACTGAAATTCTTCTTCCTCCCGCTCTTTCTTTCCTTCCCACTTTCTTTCCATCTTGTCTCCTTCCCCACTCCCCACATTTCTGTGCAAGTAAGCCTAACCTTATCCATATGAGTATGGATTTATGCCTTTTAATGGTTCTTTACAATCATTTCAACTAAGTCATGAAGGGAGGAAGTATGTGCCAGGGGTCACGAATGTAAATGCCTATATTAGCTTAGTTCATAAAATAAACAAAGAAGACCTGGTGAAACCTGGAGAAAACATGCCTCGTCCCAAAGGGGCAGAGTCTGCCCAGTTTAAGTCTCTTGTTGCTGTATATAGGAATAGGGCCTAGTATTGGTAGTTCTTTTAATTTATCAATTTTATCTGAAATGTTTTGCTTTTAAAAATATTAGGAAGTCTTCCAAAATAAACAGATGAAAAAGAGAAATGTAGATAAGTACTCTTGGAATCAAGCAAACATGCAAATAAGTATAGACTGAAATAATTGGGAAATATATCTTGGAGGAAGTGGGACTTGAATTAGATATGAAAGATCTGTAGGTTTGGATGAGGAAGGCAGAGGGAGAATAGCATTCTGGGTGGGTGAGCTGACATGATGGAAAATCTTGGAGGTGTAAGTAGAATATATTTTGTTAATATTGCTGTGAGAGTAATGAACCCTAAGATTAGAGAGGATAGATTATACCAGACTTTGAATGCTAGGCTGAACTTTTATCTTGTAGACATTAATAGATTGATGAAAATTTGTGATTATAGGCAAAGCATCGTGAAGGCAGTCTTGAAGGGAGATTAATTTGCCTACCATGTTTCAAAATCCAGACTTCCAGAAGGAAGGTATATGTTCAGCATAAACAGTGTTGGCACAGTCTAGGCATAATAAGCCTTGCTTACCACTTAGACAAATTTTTATATCAGTGTAGGGAGCTGTTTACCATTTAAGTTCCCAGATTCCAGCAGAGGGCCAAACTTACAAGCAGGCCTTAACTCTTTTCTGCACAATGGGATAATGAGTAGATTTCACATTTTCAAACTGTAAGTTGGCTACAATTGCAGAGCATCCCAGAGATTTTGGGGATGAGAGTCAGGACTGCAGTACATCACTGGCCTAACCTTTTGGTGTCGTCTTCTAATTTTCATCCTCATTTCAGCCATACTGAAACACTTAGTTTCCAAACTATACCCTTATAGTTAACACCTCTGGACTTTTTTGCATGCTGTCTTTCCTGCTTTAGACTGCCCCTTCCCCTTCTCCTTGGTTTGTTCTTGCTTGTTCCATTTGGTTCAATGTTACTTCCTCTGTGTCATCATCTTTACCTACCTTCCTAGACTTAGACTCTTTTCACTTAGCAGTTGTACAAGCATGTGCTTATTGCACTTAACCTTTTTCCATTATTTTAAATACTTGATTATTCTTCTTCTTCCATGTTCCTATAGTGCCTTATACAGACTTTCATTTGTATCATATTATTTGTTTATTCTTCTTCTCTTAGATTCTAAACCTTTCAGAATTACAAAATCTTCTGTTTATTTATTGTTGTTATTATTATTACTTTTTTTTTTCAAACTGAGTTTCACTCTGTCACCCAGGCTAGAGTACAGTGGTCTGATCATGGCTCACCTAAGCCTTGACTTTCTGGGCTCAAGCTATTTTCCTGTCTCAGCTTCCTGAGTAGCTGGGACTACAGGTGCACACAACCAAGCCTGGCTAATTTTTCTATTTTTTGTAGAGATGAGATCTCACTTTGTTGCCCAGGTTGGTCTCAAACTCCTGGTCCCAAGCAATCCTTCCTTTTTAGCCTTCTAAAATGCTGGGATTATAAGTGTGAGCCACTGTGCTCAGTAGTAGTTGAGTAGAAGACTTGATAGGAGTAGTGATCAATTAATACAGGCTTCATGAGAAATAACTTTTATCTTGATGCTCATCTGCTTCCACAATAGCCTTTGTTCATCTGGTCTAGCAAGTCCAAACTCTTACCTCTTTCTTTTAAGGTCTTCTGTAATTTGGATCTACCTTATTTAACTGGCTTTATTTCCCCCTCCTTATCCAAATTAAGTCCCTCTCAACAAGACCACTGTCCTCACTACTTATGGCATAGGTCATTCTTTCACAAATGCTCTTACTCTTTCTTCCTCAGATCCTTTCCAAATTATTGTCAAAAATTCTTGAGGCTTAAGTCAAATGTTACTTCCTCCATAATTATTCAGACCCACATCATTCTTTTTTCCATGTCGTTGTTAGGGTCAGTTGTTGTGGCCTAATTGTTTAATTTTTCTCCCCAACTAGTTGTTAAATCCTATGAAGACAGATACATTGGTTTTTTTGTTTTGCTTTGTTTTTGTTGATTTTATATTTTTACTCCACCTTGTCACGATGCTAGTCTCATAGAATATTAAATATTTGATGAATGAATTAGTACACATATGCATCTGAAATATTGCTGCCTCACTTTAGTTAAGGTTAAGCTGAGATTTATCTATTTTCATTATTTTCTTGTTTTTGTTGTGTTGACAATAAAGAGCCACATACCATTTGTCAGTTACCTGGTTGCACATAGGATATATCTAGAGATGAATGAGTTATATTAAGTATTGATATAATATTTATTGTATATGAGTTGAAATTTCAAAGAACGAGTCATATATAAATATTGTTATGTGTTTTCACCGAAGTTCAGTGAAGCACCTGTTTCGGTTCTACAATGAACTTCCTTCCATATATGAAAAGAACTTATGTAATTTCATTGCTGTGAGGGGAAAGGGATGTAATCACTTTGTGAAAAAAGAATGGGGAATAATTTAAAAGGGAAAATATTTGTATCAGACTCACAATTTGGGGTGATTTTGAAAAAACATTTAAATGCAAAGTTGCTTTAATAAAGATTTTGAAATACTGAATCATATATCTATGTCAATGAATTTATTCTATTGTTTTTAATAGATTCAAGGATGTCAAACAGATGGTATGAAACTTGAATTTGCAGAAGAAAACCTTCCAAAAGAAAAAACAGAGTTTTTACCAACCCATTCTCAGCTGACCAATTTGCAAGAAATTGGTAAATTTTAACTACTTACCACAATATTGGTTTTTATATTTAATAGTCAATAATTTGCTTTTTTACTTTAAAATTTGAGATAACTTAGTGAACTTGGCAGTTCACTGTAGCCTCTTTGATTTGAATTTTCTCACCCTTAAAATGAAAGCTTTGGACTGTTTACCTCTTGAGTCCTTTCCCATTTCTCTCACATTCTGTAATTCTGAATTATTTTAAATTTAAAGATAAAAATTTTTTGGATAAGGGTACTAGAACCCTGAGATAGAAGAAATGATGTTGAATTCACTATTTATATTTTCTTGTTTTCATCAGTCAGAATGAGTTCAAATTGAAACCTGAGTTATTACCACTAAAAGCTTGTTTTTCCAAAGAAGAATTATCTGCACACACTGTGTTCTGCATGATTAGTGATTGTGGTATTTCACTACAAAATTTGTATTGAAATGTGCATTTTCTTCTATTTGTATGATGCAGATGTCAATCATAAAAGCAAGTTGTCTTCTCTGCAAGATACTGGAAAAACTAAACACCTTGAAGAACAAATTCAAGAATTAGAAAACTTAATATCCTCTTTGCAGCAACAATTGAAAGAAACTGAAAGAAACTATAAGGCAGAGATTCACTGCTTGCAGGAGAGGCTTCAAGCTGTTACTGAGTGCACAGTTCAGCCAAGGTATCATTTACTTAATGACTTCATTAAACAGTTTGTGTAGCTTATAACAATCATAGTATCATCCAGAATGGTTATTTTAAGAAAAAAATATAATGTAAGCAAAGTTGCTGAAAGAGATAGGATGTAGCATTTTAAAGAAATAAGAACAGGAGATAATTCTGTATCTTTGAAATATGTGAAATAAATGTTGGTATAAACCAAAGACATTTTATTATACAGATTTCACTTACATTTTATTTTATGAGGATGCCGGTTCTTACTAATCTACTGAATTAAATCAGGTGGCATGTATTTGTGGTATATTCTGTGCCTAGTCTTTGCTACTTTGATATGTTGAATACTTAAGGATATGGTGAATACTTAAGGTATGATCATTAACTCACATCTGATATCCTCCACTTGGTTGTCTAATGTTAGCATTGATCATATCCAAAGCAGAACTCTGGATCTTCTCCTCAAAATGTACTCCTTCTGCAGCTATCTCTATCTATTATAACTCTTCTTTCATACCTCTTTTCCAATCTATCAAGAAATCCTGTGTCCCCTACCTTCAGAATACATCTGAACTGCACTGCTTCCCACCACCCCACTGGGCCTACCATGTTTCATCTTCCTAAAGTCTGTTGTCAGTACAATCAACACAGGTACCAGACTTTTTAAAATTTAAGAAAGATCACTTTATTCCAGTATTCTTCTGTCCTTACAGTGTCTTACTAGGTCCTACATGATAAATACCCATGACCTCTCTGAATTTTTAATCTTTTACTGATATGCCTGTCACTATTCATAAACCATACAACCTTGCTGGGGTACTCAAACAAGCATTTATTGGTATGCTTCTGCTTTAGGGACTTCTCTGTCTACCTGGTTCATTCTATCTAGAATGATCTTTCGGCAAATATTTCCATGGCCAACACTCTCACTTCCTTAGGATCATTACTCAAATGTCATGTTCTCATGAGGTCTTTCTTGATCACCCTGTGTAAATTAAAAATTGTTCCCTAGAACTCTGTATCCCTACTTCATTTTAAAAATATTACTTAATGTTATCTATTTTTTGTGCATATATACATTATACACATCTTACAGTATATAAATATTACTTATACACAAATATACTTATAAATATTTGAAGGTGGGGTGGGTTGCTTTTATATTGTTTATTGTTTGTCTTTAATGAAGCACTTTGAGCTTTATTGGGGTGGTGATGTTTGTCCATGTAAGTCACTGATATATCCCAAACACCCTGCACGTAATAGATATTCAATAAATATTGGTTAAATGAATGAACAGTTTATAATTTAGTTGGAAAGTGTACAATAGTGTATAACTAGCTCTATAAAATCCTCAGAGATTTAATCTAACTTTGGTTGGTTCTGCTATTTTAGGACTGATGTCTTCATAGGCATTTGTTAATGGAGCATGAACACAGTTTTTCTGGGTGGTGGTAGTGGACAAAATATTGAATGTTTATACTTCTTTGGAAGCCCATCCTCCGTCCCCCTTCCCTCCCTCCCTCACTTCCTCTCTCCCTTCTTCCCTCCTTCCTTCATTTCATTTCATTTCATGTCAAGAGCTTTGAGGGGTACAAATAGTTTTTGGTCTTGGATTTAGATGTACCCACACCCCCACCTGAGCACATTGTACCTACCCAATAGGTGATTTTTTTTTCCCTCCATCCCCCGCTTCTGAATCTCCAGTGTCCATTATACCATTCTGTATGTCTTTGCATATCCTTAGTTTAGCTACCACTTATTAGTGAGAATATGCAATGTCTGTTTTTTTGTTCCTGAGTTAGTTCACTTAGGATGATATTCTCCAATTCCATCCAAGTTGCAAAAGACATGATTTCTTTTTGATAGCCGAATAGTATTCCATGGTGTAGATATACTAAACTTATGCAGAAGTTTTTTTGTTTAATAAAATCCCATTGTTTATTTTTGTTTTGCTGCATTTGCCTTTGGGGTTTTAGCCATTCTTTGCCTAGGCTGATGTCCAGTTTTTTCTAAGTTTTCTTCTAGGAATTTTATGGTTTCAGGTATGACATTTAAGTCTTCAATCCATTTTGCGTTAATTTTTGTATATGGGGAAAGATAAGGATCAATTTTATTTTTCTGCAGGTAGCTATCCAGTTTTCTCAGCACCATTTTTGAAATAGAATGTCCTTTTCCATTGTTTTTGTCTGCTTTGTAGGTATTTGGGTTTATTTCTGGATTCTCTATTCTGTTCCGTTGGTCCTTGTGTCTGTTCTTGTACCAGTACCATGTGGTTTTGAGTACTACAACCTTGTAATATAATTTGAAGTCAGGTAAAGTGATGCCTCCAGCTTTGTTCTTTTTGCTATGGACTGCTTTGGCTATTCTGGCTCTTTTTTGGTTCTGTGTGAATTTCAAGATTGCTTTTTCTAGTTTTGTGAAAAATTACGTTTGTAATTTGGTACAGATTGTGTTGAATCTGTAGATTACTTTGGGTAATATGGTCATTTTAGCAATATTGATTCTTCCTATCCATGAACTTGGGATATCTCTCCATTTGTTTGTGTTCTTTACAATTTCTCTTGTCAGACATTTGTAGTTCTCCTTATAGAGATCTTTCACCTCTTTGATTAAATATATTCCTAGATATTTCAGCTTTTTGTCTGCTATAGTAAATAGAATTGAATTATTTATTTGATTCTCAGTTTGGTTGCTATTGGTGTATAGCAATGCTACTGATTTGTGTGTGTTGATTTTGTATCCTAAAACTTCACTGAATTCGTTTATCAAATCCTAGAGTCTTTTAGGGGAGTCTTTAGGATTCTCTAGGTATAAGATCATATTGTTGGCATACAGAGGAGTTTGATTTTTTTCTTTGCCAATTTGGATATACTTTATTTATTTTTCTTGACTGGTTGCTCTGGCTAGGACTTATAGTACTTTGTTGAATAGGAGTGGTGAAAGTGGGCATCCTTACCTTTTTCCAGTTCTAAGTAGGGTTGCTTTCAACTTTTCTCCATTTAGGATGACATTGGTTGTGGGTTTGTCATATATGGCTTTTATTATTTTGAGGAATGTTCTCTCTATACCTATTTTGCTGAGGGTTTTTATCATGAAGGGACGCTAGATTTTGTCAAATGCTTTTCTGCATCTATTAAAATGATCATATGATTTTTGTTTTTAATTATGTCTATGTAGTGGATCCTATTTATTGATTTGCACATGTTGAACCATCCTTGCATTCCTGGGATAAAACCCATGTGGTGTATTATTTTTCTATGTGCTGTTGAATTTGACTTGCTAATATTTTGTTGAGGATTTTCACATCTATGTTCATAGGAGATATTGTTCTGTAGTTTTTTTTGTTGTTGTTGTACCTTTTCCTGGTTTGGCATCAGAGTGATACTGGCCTTGTAGAATGAATTAAGGATGATTCCCTTCTCTTTAATCTTGTGGAATAGTTTCATTATGATTGGTACCAGTTCCTCTTTGAAGGTCTGGTAGAATTCAGCTGTGAATCTATCAGGTCCTGGACGTTTTTGTTGGGAGACTTCTAGTTACTGTTTCAATCTTGCTACTCATAATTGGTCTGTTCAGGGTTTCTATTTCTTCCTAATTCTAGGTTGCTGGGTTGTATGTTTCCAAATATTTGTCTATTTCTCATAGATTGTCTGTTTGCATAGAGGTGTTCATAATAGTCTTGGTTATATCATTTCCATCATATCGGTTGTAATATCTCCATTTTTATTTGTGAATGAGCTCATTAGAATCTTCTTTCTTTGTTTCTTAATTATTCTAGCTGTCAATCAATTTTATTTATCTTTTCGAAAACCAAATTTGTTTCGTTGATCCTTGTATTTTTCAAATTTCAATTTCATTTAGTTCTGCTCTGATCTTCATTATTTCTTTTCTTTTGTTAGCTTTGGGTTTGGTTTGTTTGTGTTTTTCTAGTTCCTTCAGGTGTGATGTTAGTTTGTTGATATGTAGACCTTAAGTGCTATAAGTTTTTCTCTGATCACAACTTTGGTTGTGTCCCAGAGGTTTTGATAACTTTGTTGTCATTTATTTCAAGGAATTTTTAAATTTCCATCTTGATTTCATTTTTGATCTGAGGATCATGTGAGACCAAATTGACTGCCATTTTTTGTTTGCTTTCATGAGTTCTTCTTGGAGTCAGTTTCTAGTTTTATTTCACTGTGGCCTGAGAAGGTGCTTGATTTCAATTTTGGGGGATTTGTTGAGACTTGTTATATGGCCTGTAATCTGGTCTATCTTGGAGAATGTTCTATGTGTTGATGAGAAAAATGTGTAGTCTGTAGTTTTGGGATGGCATGTTCTGTAGATGTCTGTTAGTTCCATTTGCTGTAGAGTCTGGTTTAACACCAATGGTTCTTTAATGACTTTCTGTCTTGATGTTCTGTCTTTTGCTGTCAGTGGAGTGTTGAAGTTTCCCAGTATCTCTTTTTTTGGGGGGGGGCTAGTAGAATTTGTTTTATAAAGCTGGATGCTCTGGTGTTAGGTGCATATATATTTAAAGTAGTTATGTCTTGTTGGATTGATCCTTTTATCACTATATAATAACTATCTTTGTCTTTTTTTACTGTTGTTTATTTAAAGTCTGTTTTATCTGATACAAGAATGCTTACTCTTGCTCATTTTTGGTTTCCATTTGCGTGGAACATTTTTTCCCTACCCTTTTACCTTGAATCTATAGAAGTCTTTGTGATTTAAGTGGGTCTTTTCAAGGCAACAGATATTTGAGTTTTGTTTTTTTTTATATTCATTCTGCTGTCTGTATCTTTTTAGTGGGGTTCTGAGACCATTTACATTAGAGTTAATAATGATTTTGTAACGTACTATTCCATTCATCATACTGATTGTTATATTTTTGCTTTGCTGTCTTATTGTGTTGGTGTTCTATAAGGTGTGACCTTTGTGATATTCAGCGTTTTTCCACTGATGTATTTTGACCTTTTGTTTATATTTAGAATCCTTTGAGTATCTCTTGTAGAGCTGGTCTAGTGG